TGCGGAACAGTCGAGCGCTGTGTGAGAAGTTTTCTGCGCACACATCTGAAGCGCACACACACAGACAACCGTGTCTACACCGCGCGAATACTAAATTGAGTTCTCTTCTGCTTTTTTTGTGCATGGATGAATGAATATCCTTGGCGAATATCCTAGTAAACACAGTCGGTTAGGCATATGTCTTAACGTAAACAGTTGAGAAAGAAAAGGCATGTGTATCAGTAGTTAAATCCGTGCTTTCTTTCTTAAAGTGAAAGCAAACTAATAATAAATCTAATGCTGTCAAAGAAAAATACAAGTGCTCACTGCTCCTGACTAAATAACCTTTTGTAACATCAAAAATGATTAATCTATATTTAATTTATACATTGAAGGCTATGCACTTATTTGATTATTACATTTCTGTAGCGTACCTGAAAATTGATTTTAGACTGAGCTGAAAAACCTGAAAAGCACTGTTTATTGAACTTGTGTCTTTGCATTTATTTTCTGCTATTGCTTATAATTTGGTTATCTGTAGAAAATATTTTTAGCACTGAGCCCATAGTAGCAGCCAGAATTATTTTTCCAATTGTTTATTTTCTTTATTAGGCTATTAAAAAAAAAAAAAAGTGTAGGCCTATTTTTTTTGTTGTGAATATCCCAATTGAGGTACAGGATGTGAAAATTTCAGATAAATGTTCATGTTATATATTTTGATTGCATTTGTGAGTTAATAAAAATGTAGATGGTTGTTTAAAATAGGTATTAATATCATAATATCGATATATCGATCGATATACTCCTGTATCGAATCGAATCGTATTGTAGAATTTTTTGAGGTATTGGCAAATATCGCTGGGTTTGAGAATCGATATCGTATCGTACCGTGACGAACCATCCGATTTACACCCCTATAGCCTACACAGCTTTTGCGTTCCCATGAAAAAAATTTCGTTCACGTCCAAAAATTTTGCGTTCCCCTGATAAACTTTGTTTGTGTGCAAAACTTTTCCATTCCCCGATAAACGTTTCTTTCATGCGCAAAACTTTTATGTTCCCCTGATAAACTATTCATTCATGCGCAAAACTTTTGTGTTCCCCTGAAAAAACTTTGGTTTCACATGCAAAACTTTTATGTTCAGAATTTGCATTTGTTCACAAAACTTTTGCATTCCCCCAATAAACTGTGTTTGTGCGCAAATGGTTTGCATTCCCCAATAAACTTTGCATTCACGCAAAAAAATAAATAAATACCGTTTTCATTCCGATAAACTTTGCGTTTGTTAGCAAAATTAATATTGTACCATAAGAATAATAGTAGTCCAAGGCACTCGAAACTTATTAAAAAAAATTTTAAAAGCCTTTATTTCATCATGGCTATAAGTTTTAAGAACAGGTGACAAGTGCACACCTACGCGTTGCGGCTATTTTGCCTTCGTCAGGGTGTGAGTAATATTGTACCATGTTCCTACTTTGCACGGTAATAGCATGGTACTTTGAGTATGTTTTAGTGAGTGTTACGTTCTGTGTGTCTCTCAGGTTGTGCAGAGGATCCTGGAGGTGGAGCACCGCACCAGGCTGCTGGTGGTGGACCGGGTCACCGATGAGTTCCTGAAGTTTCACGGTCTGCCGTGTACAGAGGATAGGGCGATTGAGATGGGCTCTCTGTCCTCTCGCTCCTCAGCGGCGTCCTCTCCCCGCGCCTCCCCACGAGACTCCGCCACTCCTCCCTACAGCAGACAGAGCTCTGAGGGCATTTTCATTAATAAGGTGAGAAGATCTCTCATGTGAGTGCTTGCACCTAATGAAACATCCCATCTCTATCAGATGCTGTTGGTTTCTGGATAGGTGGAAACATGACACAACATGGCATATAGTGGCCATACGGTCTCTTTCTCTGTATAAGAACTTCCCTCATATTGGAGACTCCATGAGAGGAAGTCTAGGAGGAAATGCAGTCCAGAGAGGAGCAGTGTGCTATATTTAGATCATACTGTATGAAGAACAAGGTTGGGAATCAAGAATTCTAAACAGTTACATTTAAAAGAAAAAAATACCAGATCCAAGTGGTTCAATGGTTATTAAACGACTGCATTCTTCTGCTAAAATGATATAATGCAAAAAATAAGTTTATAAATCAAATTGTGGTCAATTATTTAATGCTTTTTCACAAGTACTAAGAATAATTAATGGATTCAGAATTGAAAGCAGAATTTTTGCGTTAATGTTTCATTTAAAGGGACAGTTCACCCAAAAATGAAAATTCTGTCATAATGTACTCACAATGTTTCTCACAATGTTGTTCCAAACCTATGTGTTTTTTTCTTCTTCTGTTGAACACAAAAGAAGATATTTTAAGGAATGTTGCAGTTTCTGGTAGCCATTGAATTCCTTAGTATTTTTATACCATATTATGGAAGTCGATGGCTACCAGCAACCGTTTTGTTACCAACATTCTTCAAAATATCTTTGTGTTCAACAGAAAAAAGAAACTCATACAGGTTTTGAACAACAGAGAATTTTCATTTTTAGGTAACTCTCCCTTTAAGACCGCTTATTAAAGCTAAGTATTCAGACTGGTGAATGGTATTAATTTATGAAAATTAAATGACTAAATGAATTAAATTCAGTGTGCTCTGTTTTGTTAAAGTTAGGTTTATTCTTGATTTAAAAAAAAAAAAAGTATTCTGGATCTGCTAAATAAGCTCCAGAAGAGCTTGTATTGCGCATGTGCTTTACACGGAAACACCAGGGTTTAGCAAATAAAATGAAGTCTGCATAAGGTCCAATCAATGGAAATGTGTCACTTGGTAGAAGCTAGTCAAATTAGGCGTGTGAACATGGACAGGTTATGTGACTTTTTTGAAAACCAAAACCATGCAAAGCAGGGTTATTAAAATAAACATTAACAAAATATTTACAAAAAAATATTTAGTATATCAATGATACTAAAATGACACCAATGCAAAGAACATCATATGAACATCACACGCAACAAGAATAACCTGACCACAGTGTGTTTCATGCAGTAAATTGTTAGCATGTAAGACAAACACTCAAGCTATAAAACTGATCACTAATAATTGTGTGGACTTTTGAGTTTATGCAAGTGATTGGATACATCTCAAAATATCAGATTTTTGATTTACACTGCTGTGAAGTCAACCATGGCCAAGATTACAGTGTGTGTGTGTGTGTGTGTGTGTGTGTGTGGTAAAACATGAGGGATACATTTAGTCCACACACACACCTGCCTTCCATCAGGAGCTTCAGTCTGGCTTCATCTAGAGGTGCTTGCCTGGAGCTGCCTAAGCTCTTTACAGACCTGGATGTGTCCAGTTCAGGTGAGGTGTGTTGACACCTGCCCAGGTAGCTGCCGGATCAGCACACAGCAAGAGTCCTGTAAACAACATAATCCAGAGATGGTCAACTTGCAGTCATGTTATTGTTTGTTTTATTATTAGCTGCAGTGGGGTTCAAACCAACAACCATCTAGCAGTATTGGAGAGCAACGAAAAGTTACTAAAAGTGTTTGAATTCCAGGTTTCTCATTTCTTTTATAAAAATTGAAGTGTAAGGCTGGAAAACACTACATGACTTTCACCCTGGATGAGTCAACGCATAGTTGCTTAAAGTCAGAGTCAGTCAGAGTCGAAAGAATTCACTTTGATTCTATTCAGTCAAAGGATATTTTGAGCCGATTTGAAAACATCTAGCAACGAGGCGCTTGTTTCTGTGCAAATCAACTTAAAACTTGATAGCTCCGCCCCCTAATTCACAAACATGTTATGCAACAAGCACCTCCCCCAGCATGATTTGACACGCCCCCTTACTGGTGATTGGCTGCGAGTGTGTTTCGGTGTTCGGTCTGATTAACTTTCAACAGTGTTTCTCAGAAATTGCTCACAGCACTTTTAAGCCTTTTTCTGTTTTAATAAATCTGACATTCGCAGCCATGAACAACCTGTAGTTTTGCTAACGAACTAAACTACTTGGTGGAAGAATTGTTGATTATTATTAGTATTACTGTATGAATCTATCTATTTTCATCATAATGCTGCTGTCTTCATTATATAAAAGCAAGAAGCCACTTGAGGTCTCATAATACAGTGATTTTACCACAGTTAAGGGAGTTTCAAAAACACCCATTGCTTGTAGTAAAATCACTGTAACAGACAACCTCTTGTGGTTTGTTGCTTTAATTTGATTTTATAACTTTATTTAGATCTTTTTGCACCAGTGTGGAGAGTGATAACGTCTACAGAAGCCGAACAGAAGGCTAGTTTGACTGTGGTTTTGCTCATTTAAATTATGAGTAGGTTGTTTCTTGGCGAACAACAGTTTCAAAGCAGCTTCCCCAAACGCAACACAAACAATGCTGCCACTGAAAGAACAGAAACACCGACCACAGCCGTTCAGGTTCAGCTGAATGTCTACTTCACTGTCTTCTGGTAGAGTCCCAGCAGCACTGGAGGAGTGATGAACGGCTCTCCGCTCTACAGAGCTCATGCCCGTCTGGCGTCACCCGGTGAACACAAGACCGAACTGGAGGCCGAACCCTTCACCAAACTCACAGCCGAGCCTGAACCCGAGTGTGAACTCAGCACTGACCTCAGCGGATCTCAGACCAGCACACAGGTGAGGTTAGGCAGCAGGGGCTTCATGATGAGATTATTTTGTGGTGCGGATCTGCAAAGTCTCTCATTTCCAACCCGATTACACTCTTAAAAATAAAGGTTCCAATCGGGCGTTTTTGCAGTGATGCTATAGAAGCAGCATTTTTGGTTCCCCAGAGAACCTTTCAGTGAACAGTTCCTAAAATAACCATTTTGAAGAACATTTTTAAAAATCTAAGGAACCTTTTTTTTGACTATAAAGAACCTTTATTTTTAATAGTGTAGGACTAGTATTGGTAGGTATTTGTATTTGAAAGTGCAGTTCGTTTGAATAGACACTGATACGTACAGTACAGTATAAATGTATAGACATTTAAAAAGATGCTTTCACATATCTATGAGTTTAGAGATAAGTATAAGTATGTTTTTATTTCCCATGCAAAGAGAACAGCCAATCATAACAGAGGTCTGTCTTAAAGGTACAGTACTACAGTATACTCTACCATTCAAAAATCAGTAAGATTTTATGTTTTCGAAACACCAAGGCTGCATTTATTTTAATCAAAATTACAGTAATACTGTGAAATATTATTACAATTTAAAATAACTGTTTTCTGTTTGAATGTATTTTAAAATGTAGTTTATTCCTGCGACGCAAAGCTGTATTTTCAGCATCATTACTCCAGTCTTCAGTGTCACATCATCCTTCAGAAATCACTCTAATATGCTGATTTGATGTTCAAGAAACATTGCATATTATTATCAATGTTGAAAACAGCTGTGCTGCTTTATAGTTTTGTGGAAACCATGTTTTTTTCTTTGATGACTTGAAAGTTCAAAAGAACAGCATTTATTAGAAAATAGCGTTCTATATAAATGTCTTTACTGTCAATTTAATGCATCCTTTCTGAATAAAAGTATAAATTTCTTATTTTATTATTATTATTATTATTCATTAAAAAAAAAAAAAATCTTACTGACCCCAAACTTTTGAGCGGTAGTGTATGTAGTAGGTTAAGTATATATGGAAGCCTTAAAGGTAGAGTAGCAAAATCAGCTTGTTTATTAGAATTAATTATGAGTGGTTTTTGTGCAAGAAACCGTAACTTACATTATATACAGTAAAATATGTGCTTCGTTGACATGTAAAGGAGGTAAAAATGGCTCTTAAAGGGGTCATAGGATGCTACATGCACTTTTACAAGTTGTTTGAACTGAAATGTGTGTTGGCAGTGTGTGTACACAACCACCCTATAATGATAAAAATCCACCCGGTGTTTTTTTTTTAATTGCAGGAAACATCAATTGCTAAAAAAAAATAGATCTGACCCCTTTAAGTGAAACTACATTTGCATCTCTCTCTGTCTCTTTTCTTTCATTTGTTGTCCTCATATTCTCTCTCTCTCTGTGACCTTAATTCTCATTTACCTGCGTTGTGTTGTTCCCACTCTCTGGTCCTGGGTGTCTGATTTCTGGGTATTTTCCCAGAATTCAGTGAGAGTGTTGTTTGTGCGTGTGTGTGCTGGATTCGATTGAGCGACGTCTCAGCCTCAGGAGCTGAAGCACGTGTGTGTGTAAGGCCAGGTTCTTCAGTCACTCTACCCCATGGGACACAAACAGACACCACCCTTGTATTGTCTTAGAACAGGAAGTGACATGGTGTCTCACAGAATGTCCCTTATTCCTGCTGGGCGTGTTTCACTTCTTGAAGGAAATGAGCCAATGGTCACGCACACATGCTGGCACGTCCTCGTGCACGGCCCAGGGTCGTGCATGTATCGTGTCATACGGCGTATGATAACAGACAGGATGGTTTGTTCCTTTGTCTTTGGCCAGAAACGTTGCGCAAATGCAGACTCAAGTTTGCAATAGTTTTTTTCAAATGTCTGTATCATTAAAACAGATCTGTTATTATTAAGGCACCAGAATGCCTGATAAAGATACTGCGAGAATGCAGCCTTGTTGTGCGTGTATTTTTGTTGGCGGCAACAAACATACGAACTCAAGTTTGCAATAGTTTTTTTCAAATGTCTGTATCATTAAAACAGATCTGTTATTATTAAGGCACCAATTGACCTGAATTTGAAAACTGACTGTAGAAGAAGAAAACTGACTGTTTATATTAACGTCCTCTATGGCGCCCCTTGTGGCAGCACTGAGAATGCAACACCTCAACATAGTTAAAAAATAAAACATTTATTATATTAGTGAAATGCAATTTTTGCATAATAATATTTTTTACTTTGAGTATCATAAAGTTGTTTATGCATTTTAATAAAAATAAAATGTGCCTAAATGATTACATAACAAATTTGTAATGTAAGGGGAGACAGTTATACCAAAAAATATTTATAATTCAATCAAAAACAAATTTTTGCTAGTGACTTCTTGTGTACACCACTGGAGGCAAATTAATTGTCAAAACTAATCATAAAAAAATAACCGCAGTTGTGTATTTTATTGAGATACATGAGCTTACATGATTGCATACAAGTTTTGTCATTTAACAGAAGACAGTTTTACCATTAAATATTTATGATTAAAGATGCAAAAAGGTGGAAAATTTCCGAAACTTTCCAGAAATTTTGGAAGCTTACCAGTATTTTTATTTTTTGGAAAGTTTCCAGCCCTTTGCAACCATATTTCTAATTAAATAGGAAAAAAGTTTTTCGAGTGACTTGCCGTGTATGGTGAAGGCAAATGAATTTTTCAAATTAATTGTAAAACATAAGTGCAACTGTGTATTTTAGTGAGATAAATGATTGCATAAAATAATGTAATGTAATGGAAGACAGTTTCATCATTAATAAAATTAAAAATATATTTTTGTGAGTAGTTTGTACTTGTAAAAATGAATTAAAATAACAGCAACTATTTGATAGTCGGAGTGTTTATAATTGCATTAACGTAGTACTTGAACGGCACTGATAATGCTTGTAATGTGAAATATGTTGTTTGTGACTATTCGTTTCTTAATGAATACTGATGCATGTGGACCTTTGGCTAAATTGCATAAAGTCTGACCTATAATGCATCTTATTCTGGCCAAGAACTGTCCACTTAGATAGGAAGTAGATCATCTGATCAACATGTAAAACGATCAATTGCAGTTTTTATGCAAACAAAAAATAAATACATACAAAATATTAATGGTGCAGCTGCCTCTGTGAACTGTCATACAGAAAACACCGGAAAAATTGAAAAAAATGTGTCTGTAAAGACTGTTTGATGAAAATGTCTGTCCATCTTGAAGTAATATAAATACAGATTATTTCACACATTATTGAGTAAATATTAGTGCTGTAAAACGATTAATCGCATCCAAAGTAAAAGATTTTGTTTACATAATACTGTTTACAGTATTTACACACATACAGTACATATTTTGAAAATATTTACATGCATATACATTTATATGTTTATATTCTTATATTTTATATAAATATATTTAATATATAAACATAACATATTTTTCTTAAATATATACATGCATGTGTTTGTATTTATATATACATAATAATTATACACAGTACACGCTCATTTATTATGTAAACAAAAACTTATTTTGGATGCAATTAATCGCGATTAATCGTTTGACAGCACTAGTAAATATACAGAATATAGGCTATACACAGTATGTTCAACAAATAACTTTCACTGTATTCCTCTGATTTATCTCACTCTGAAAATTAAAGAGATAGTTCAACCAAAAATAGTTTGGTAACCAAACAGCTGATGGTAGCCACTGACTTCCATAGTATGGAAAAATACCATGGAAGTCAATGGCTACCGTCAACTGTTTGGTCAACAACATTCTTTGACATGTCTTCTTTTGTGTTCGACAGTAGAAAGAAACTCGTACAGGTTTGGTACAACTTGAGGATGAGTAAATGATGACAGAATATTAATTTCTGGATGAGCTATCTCTTTAAATCGGATCATTATCTAATGTTGGAGCTAAAACAGTCCTGGTTTGTTGACCTAAAAACTTCTTCTGGAGTTCATTGCTTTTTCTCTCTCCAGGAGGAGACGGCTTTGGAGGAGGATGTGGTATCGAAGGACCTGCGTCCGCGCTCGTGTCACATGACTATAGGGGAGCAGGGCTACGGCTTCAACCTGCACTGCAAGAAGTCGCGCGCGGGTCAGTTCATCCGCTCGGTGGACCCCGACTCTCCGGCGGAGCGCGTGGGCCTGAGGCCCAGAGACCGGCTCATCGAGGTGATGGCACGGGGTTACAGCGGCCTCCATTAGCCCAGATTAGATTCAATTTCTAGAGAGAGGCAGATTACGCTAATGAAGAGAAATGTTGTTTGCTTCGTGAGGGGAGGATCCCGTTTTAGAGCAGAGAGTCCGTGAGTGTGAGTGTGAGTGTGTGTGTGTGTGTGTGTGTGTGTGTGAGTGTGAGTGTGAGTGTGTGTGAGAGATGCCGTGATCGTCACAGATCGCAAATCCGTCCTAATGGATTTAATTTGCGGCTGTTTTCTGTAATTATCACAGACAGATCTGTAATTATGACTGACAAACCGTGTTTAATTCACTCAGCAGTCTTTGTCTCTGAATGCATTTGAATATCGTTAGCAAAACATGATTTATAGTCAGTTATTAACTTCATGAATTATAGTTTGAATAGTTTGAAGCACCACCTCAAATGGCAACTTGTGTAAATGTGAATATAAATATATACATGTAAATATTTTCAAAATATATACATGCATGTGTGTGTATTTATATATACATAATAAATATACACAGTACACACACATATATTATGTACACAAAAACTTTTATTTTGGATGCGATTAATCGTTTGACAGCACTAATTTTTTAATTTTTGAAGAAAATCACATCACAAATGTTGTGTGATGGTTGAGCTCCAAAAGTTATGTAACAACAATAATAATAATTTAATAATATAGTATATTATCAATTAATTAAAATGAGAAATTATTATTATTAATGTATTTATCATTATTATTATTATCATTATGTGCTTTCCTGTAGCTCAAACAGTACATTATGGCGCTGGCAACAGTAAGGCCAAAATTTAGAACTAATTTCATAATCTAATTTAATAAAAATAAAAAGAATCATCTAATTTAAACATTTAGATCTGCAGTACAAAGTGACATTAGGAGGAAAACGGCATCTCACAAAATGCAAGATGTATTTTAGACGCGGCACTTTATGAATAAGATTCCTCAGAAGTGTAATGACGTGGTTGTGACGCACTTTATTAGAAAGTCATTGACAAACCTTTTATTATTTCGCATATAAACACCTTCCTCCTGTAAGAAGGTCAGGAAGCCTCAGACTTTCACATGCATTACAACAGTTTCTGTGTTTGACCGGCAACGGCAGCCTACACACCCCAAACTCCATTATCAGACAGAGACAGCTGGAGAAACAGAGAAAAATGTCAGATGAAAGTTTGTTATGTAAGGCTTCTTCAAAGAGAGGAAGAGGAAGAGGAAGCTCCACAGAAAGTGGAAGTAACGCGGCCTCACACTCCACCTGCTGGACAAATACTGACCGACAATTATTATGTGTTGCACCTGAACATATTGAGAGAAATTATATAAATATAAATATAATTTAATATTATAATAGATTATATTAAATTATAATATTTAGTATATTATAATATAATAAATGAATATAATCAACACTATAATAAATAGTGCAGTATAACAATATTATAATATA